TCTCATGTTAGACTTCCAATCATGATCTTCGTGTCACGATCTCGATCTTTATTGGAGACTCCTTCTTTAACAAACTTGAGATAAGTTTCTTCCTTCGATTTTCATAACAGACCGATGGGTCATGTTCTAATGACCTCTCATCGTATGATGCATTGCTTGGACTCAGGTCTTTTAGAGTCAAATTCCAGAACAGGCTATACCTTCCTTCATGTTCTAATGTGATATGATCACATCTTAAAATGTAGCATTCCTAGCTACAAGCAACTAACGCGATACCTCTACTGATCGCTTTGATTGTCTTTCACTTCAATCTTCTAGCTTAAGTCAGATGCTACATCGGAATTGGTTCTCTGAACCATGTAACATACTCGTCTTAGTCGGACTCAATTTGATATAACCACTAGGTTCGGAATAAAAATAATCTTCTTATTCATTACTGAAACAATGGTAACGACATACTTGAATAAAATGGTATCAATTACTAGCTTCTTGGTAACCTTGCGACTTTCCCTGATCCACGTGTGAGTCCTATGCTTCCGGTAGTATAGGCCTCTACTACCATTCACACCTACTCATACTTTTTCCAAGTATTGTCTCACAGTTTTCCAAGTTATTATCACAAAAACAATTTTAACACATACAAATGTGTCCAAACAATCATATAATTTTTCCTAGACTCTACTAGGACTTCTTCCATGCGTATCTTTGATCGTCAATTCTGCTTCAACTCGGTAGGTGATGGAAATGTTAGACGATGGGATAACTTCATGGATTATACAAAAAAATCTTTCTTTCTGCTAATCGAAAGTGTACTTCTCCCATACTAGACGTATTATTTCTTAGACGCGTTCTAAAGGCAAGATATCACTCTTAAAATATCTTCCGATAGGTATCATTCAATATCGTAAGCCTTCTCATTTCCTCCATTTGCTCAGTCTGCTATGAGTCCTTATCATGATATTCTATACACCAAAGCAGGCATTTGGTGTATCGAGACGAGAATACAGATAGAGGAAGATTTAGACGCGTATTCCTCCTTATTACTCCAAAAAGTTACATGTCAGTTCTAATATCGTAATTAAACGTTTAGAAACCGGAGCACATAAAATTTCCAGATCAGGTCGGCAACAGACCATAGATCCGATCAAACGATAGCATAAAGCATCACAAATCATTTAGCATATAAAAGCATGTTAGGCATTTTCCCTAAATAAGCTAGTGTTTGTGTCTATTCAGGTGCATTACCTAAATTTTATTAGACACATTCCACACAATCATCGCTTAGCATTCTAAGTTTAAGTCTAGAAATGAATCCATATTCCTAGTTTACTTAAACTAATGCTCTGATACCAACTGTGACATCCCCATTTTCATGGCCAGAAAAGACCGATTTTGTTTATGGTTTATAAAAATCAGAGTACTTCTTTTAATAAAAATGTTACGGAATTTGTTCCCAGAAAAACATGATAAATACGTTATCAAAGCATTTCCGAAGAAATGTAATTTTTATTCATTTTAAAAAATTTGGGATGTCATTGTCAATATAGAAACATAAGCATAAACAGAACTTACATTCATTATCACTACTGATTTATATCTCCTTAATCTCTCAATGTAATGTAACTTCATATCGACACCTGTGATACAAATAAGCTTGAGTGGGTCAGGTTGGGAAACCTGGTGAGTACATAGGGTTTTCAACCCACAATAATATCATTATTATGTTTAAACATCAAACAATCAACCCAATTACCCATCCCCATTATCTTCCTTACTCTCAAGGGTCTACCCTAAGAGTCATTTATCCTGCATTTGTTCATTCTGAAGTCCCTTGCTTCCAGGGTTATAAGACAGGCACTAAGTCCATAGTTGTCAATGCTCGTTCGTAAAGCACTAATTCCATAGCTGCTATAATTCATTCATCAGGTACTAATTCCATAGCTACCAGTGTTTATCCAATGGGTACTAAGTCCATAGCTACCAACGTTTAACAGGTACTAAGTCTATAGCTACCAACGTTTATCTAACGGGTACTAAATCCATAGCTACCAACATCTAACAGGTACTAAGTCCATTGCTACCAACGTTTATCTAACGGGTACTAAATCCATAGCTACGAACGTCTAACAGGTACTAAGTCCATAGCTACGAGTGTTTACCTAATAGGCACTAAGTTTATAGCTGCCGATGTTATTTATAAGGCACTAAGTCTATAGTTGCCAATGTTCACTCATGTCATCTTTCACCTCCCATCATTCATCTACCCATGTTTTACCCAACATATTCGTAGATAAAAAATACATATACAGTTTAAATTATTTAAAACACGTATAAGATCATTCATCCAACATAGACAGCAAGTATTCAGATAATATGCACACATAGCATGTAATTTATATAAAATACTTCATATCTATGTGTAAGATGAAAGTAACTATGCACTCACCTGGTAAGGTGGTGACTCGGTACTCGGACAGCACTTCGTTATCTCAAAACAATTTTCCCTTGACAAAACCTAGTATCAATACCACTAGGGTTTAGTCTAACGTTAACTGCGACTAATTAATAGTCTAGCCATTATTACTATTATATAAGCGTTAAGTAACACTCTTATATAACTCAAAATAATAACCCATATATTTATTATAAGGTCCTAATAACATTACTATATTTAAACATAAGTTATACTTAAGGTAGGGTAAGCATATCTCACTTACCAGGGGTTTGGCTAGGAGCCGGGTTCTGCAGGGGCAGAACTTCCGAGCAGAAAGCTCTTCTTCTCGGAGCCTTTTGGCGCTCCGGGACTCGCCTCTAACACCTAGGAGGTGCTAGGGAAGGGGGAAGAGGGTTTGGGGGTAATAGGAGAGAAAGAGTATGAAAGGTGTGAGTTTTGGGGGTGATTACGCCTCTATTTATAGGCTGTCTGGGCCGATTCACGTCGTGAGAAAGGGTGCTCATGTCGTGAGCCTTGCGTAGGCTCCAAGGCGAAGTCTGGTGCTGACACGTGGCGCCAGACGCAGGTAAAGCTGTCAATCTTTAAAAATTCATAACTTTCGCATACGAACTTCGTTTTTGACGTTCTTTATATCCATGTGTAGGTAAAGACAAGATCTACAACTCTCCTTTTGACTCTATCGGCTATCTCTCGACCGATTATAAATTTAATAGTATGAGAAGATTACACTGTTAAATGTCCGCGTAAAATTCGTAACTTCTTCATACAGACTCCGTTTTCGTTTGTCTTTTTATCGTTGAGTTCCTATTAAGGAGATCTTCAACTCTTATTTAGGTCGTGTAAGCCAAAAACCACTCGAACTAAAATTCGAGTTTCGGACCTTACACTGATATGCCAAATCTTAGAAAAATCATAACTTCCTCATACGAAGTCAGATTTGGGCGTTCTTTTTATGGACGCTCTCGGTTTAATGTATACTACAACTCTTGTTCAGATTACTAAGGCTAAAAACTCCTCTATCGTAAATTCACTATTTACGTCTCCCGGTGCCGTGCCGGTTTTGCCGTAAAACTTCGACGGGCCATAACTTCTTCGTTATAACTCGGATTTCGGCGTTCTTTATATCTACGGAACCCTTGAGACATATTCTACGACTTGGTTAAGATTATTTATTCTAAATAATTTTTTATCGAAAAATCGTTTTCGACCCCTTTTATCTCTAAATTGACTAGCCCGGATCTACGGGCGCTGCAATATATATATATATATATATATATATATATATATATATATATATATATATATATATATATATATATATAATATATATATTATAATATTATATATAGGCATAGATTATTCTATTCAAAGTAATTATTGTGTTATTGTATGCATAAATGTGGGCCAATCATTTTACTTATTTTAAAAAATTGATTTACCTATATTATTAAATAAAAGAAAAATAGAATAATGTCATTTAATTAAAAGAAGGTTAATATTGTACATTTGCATTGTCTTAAAATTAGGAAATCCAAATTTAAAAAAACAAACTTTCAGATTTTAATGGATCTTTGATTATCTTAATTTTTGAATTTTGATTTTTTTTAAATTAATTTAGTTTAAATAATTCTAACATAATTTTTAATCATACCCGGTTTTATTCTGTCAGAATGACATTCTTTTTATAATGATATTCTATGAAAATGCAAGCCATAAACTAATAAAGAGACTTACTTCTCGCAGAATAAACAAATTTTTAGATACAAGTTAAATTTTTTCTATCACATCCTTGAAAAAATAAAAAACTTTATATTTTATTCTATAATAATGAAACACTCCCTAATAACAAACAAATATAATATGTAGATTATTCTATTGGAATATATTATTACATATACTCTTATCATTCTATTATAGATTAATCTAACAGAATATGACAATGAGTAGTGCATTTTTCTGGAAGATCGGTGACCATTGAGGATTGTTCATGTCTATCCCACACGCATTCATCCAACCTTCGGATCATTGATCATCATGTACTTCATTCATTCTATGAGAATAACTGTCATGAAAATGAATTATGTAAGAATAAAACTATGTGAGAATGCTTTTATACGACAAAAATAAAACAAATTTTAGTAATTCTATGAGAACTCATACTACATGTTAAAATCAAGTAACACAAATAACGAACTCATAAATTATTTTTGTGTTCTTAAGGAATTCGAACATCAAGTTCTCTTTCAGACATTTCTACAAACACCTGGTGTGCAATATTCTCATAGAATTATTTTTTGTGTTCTTTAAGATTTCTGAACCGCCATGACTTGTTAGAATCACATAAGTACTAGCTATGTGATATCAGGTGTGTGTTCAACGGGTTCGAATGTGAGAAACAAAAAAAATGGCCTTAACCCAATCATTCTTTTTTACTTCCTCAACAAATGAAAACCGCACCAGTTGTCTTTGTTCTTTCAACAATCCAACAAATATACACGAGATATAGAAAGCAAAAGAATGAAATCGAGGAAGTGAATTAGAGGACTTACACACTGGCATATTCCCTCCCAAGAAGTTTGAAAGGTGTTCCAGATCGGCGAGACATGAGAGGAGAAGCAGAGAGCTCATCGGAGCTCATCGGGGTCCATGGTCCCAACACCGCAATCAACCATGCCTGTTTCTGCGTCAAAGTTCTCCATCGCTTCCTTCCCTTTAAAAAAATTATTATCTTCCCTTTTCTATACAAAATAATATATATATAGTGTAGTCTTTAAACTCTCCTATTGATTGTAAACCTAAAACGAATTGCTTAGTCTCTTCGAGACCAATAAAACAACGGAGAGATTAAAGTTCGCCTCCAGAGAACAAGAAGAGAGAAAAATGTTGATATGGATAAAAGATCCAAAGACGGCCACATTTGGAAGATTCACGGAGGGGGATATGTTTTAGGGTTAGGGCTTCCATTCAAATTAGGGAAAATTTCAGAGGGGTTTTTTGGAAACAGAATTCGCATTACATCAACAGATGCGTGATTCAATTTCTCTTTTTGCAAGTTATTGGATGTGCATGCGTCCTTGTCTGTGCGGAGGTAGAATGAGACTCGTTGGTGTTGACTCGCTGATTCAACTGAGACGACAAGTTGAGTTAGGTGTTACAATCTGTAATTGACTGTGTACGAGGAGTGTGTACGAGAAGGAACTCCTATGGCCATCCCGCCCCTCTGCGTCGGTGGGATTGAAGTTAACGAGGAAGAGGGTCGATGTTTTCTATCTAGGGTTTTAAAGCGGTAAATGTAAACGATTTTGCCTAAATTAAAGGGTTTATGATTTGAATAATTAATTACCAAAATTAATTAAAAGCTAAGATTACAATTTTACCCCTATCTAGGTTTTTAAATTGATTAGTCCACATTTATGCATACAATAACATAATAATTACTTTAAACACCTGAACCTCTCTCTCTCTCTCTCTGTATATATATATATATATTCATTACTATATTCTAAAATTAAAACATACATTTCAAGACTTTAATTCACAGTTTAATAAAATAGTTTATAACACTCATTTACAATGTTCACAACTTAAAGACACTTTTCAAATTTTATAATTTTCATTCACACAAATCATCAAACACCTTGTGTGCATAAAAAAACCATTGACAATACTTATACAACTCAGATTATTCATAAATACAAAAAAATCACAATAGGATTTAGGTTATTCAAATACTAATCCATAAGTTTATACACTTATTCACAACTTAATGTACAAAAAACACTATTTATAGTTTCAAATTTTCATTCAGGAAAATCATCAAACACATTGTGTGCATCATGAAATGATTCTTGATTCTGATTTTTACTAAGCCTTTAACACATAATAGGTAGCAAAGATGGAGTAAGATGTAAAACACAATAAATAAACATGAAAAATAATTGTACAAAGGTTAAAAAAACACTCATATGAGCCTCATCATAATGTACCTGATGTGAAGAAGATGATGAGTGACACATCGGTTGTAACAACACCACCAAATCTCATCGATCTAGCTTTGCCACTCGCAAGATCTCATAGATCTTGTCTCGTCGGATGCTGGTGCTCGTGTAACTGGCCTCGTCAATCGTCAGTGGTATTGTAGTCGTCGTTGCTGGTGGCGATTAATTGCAGAACTTACAGATCTGGAGGAGGATGACACTACTGGTGGTTCTATAGTGGTTGAATGGTGGTGGATCTCATAGATCTAGAGCAGAAATCGCACATCTAGATGGCGGTACCAGTTCCGGCTTGGATTCCACCGGAACTCCTTTGTCTGAACATTAGATTTCCTCAGAAATCCTTCCACGTCTCGAGATCCCATCCGAGCTCTTTCCACATCACGAGATCTAGCTGAAAAACTTGTAGATCTGAAGGAGGAAATTGTAGATCTAGCGTCAAAAATCATAGATCTGGAGTCAGATCTCGTAGATCTGCAGAAAAGAGTGTGTGCTGCAGCGGCGATGGATGTTCAGACATGAAAGGGGTGGTAATGACGTGACATCGACGGTAGGAGGAAGATATTCTGATCAAAATATGAGAAAACACACCATATCAGAGATACTTGCGGTGGTGGAGACATCGTCACTGGTGGTGGTGGTGGTGAAGCCGTCGTCACTGATGGTGGCGGTGGTGCAACAACCGATGACAATGATGGTATTCATCAAATTGGTGGTTGAAGGATATAAATGAATGTTTTTGCTCTAAATGTTAAAAGGGAAGAAGTTGAAGTTAATAGATCTTAGACCCATCAGGTAAATCAGATAATGATTCTTATGGTTCTTATTCTTTTTTGGTTCTCATTTTAACCTTTACTTCTCTCTCTCTCTCTCTCTCTATATATATATATATATATATATATATAATATATATATATATATATATATATATATATATATATATATATATATATATACTAGGTTATAACCCGTGGGCACCACGGATGAATAATTTAAAAATAATTTGAATTAAATTATAACTTAATTATTGAGAAATGATAATAAAAACTTTAATAAATAATAAATATATATGTTTTGTCGGTAATATCACAATGACATAATTATTGGCTCAAATTAGAAAATGATATTGGTTTGAATATCCAAATGGCACTTTGTATATATAGATATGTTAGAAAATTATAATTTTGCAGAATGCAATATAAATATAAATAAAAACAGAAACCGAAATATATATATATATATATATATATATATATATATATATATATATATATATATATATATATAATAAAAGTATACAAAGTTTTATAAATTTCTAAAAACTTGTTTATACACAACATTAAATGTTTTATTTGATAGTCTACCATCCTTATCGAAACACATATCAACAAACACAAGTCGAAACTTTGTTGCTTATCCCGTTATCACTTTAGAGTGTTGATGACAATTTTGACAATTTTACCCCTGTCCAACATAACATATTAAAGGGAAAATGAAGCATGCACAAAAAAAAGAACAAAAATATTAAAATTATGATACATATAACAATATTTACATACACAGATCAGTGATATAAATTTTCAAGCATACAATTTTGGTTTCAACAAACATTTACTTTAAGAGGCCAAAATATAAGGATTCTTATGGAGATTTCCCTATTGCTATAAATTATAATTAGGTAGATTTTTGTTTTTCAAAATATAATGTTGTAATACGAAGAAATGAAAATAGGATGCAATAATAAACAAATCAATGAAAGTACATTGTTATTTCTTGTTTTACCTCCGTAGATCAAAGTTTTGATTCATAAGGGTAGCAAGTTTAGAATAATCTTTTTCAAGTAAAGTTGTTTTCCGTCAAGAGCTAAGTTTGCCGCTTCCTCCATTGATGATATTATAAACTTGTCTCCATCTAGCCATCTTTGTCGAACTGTGCTATGCACCTACACTCATGAAAACTTTATTTTATAAATAATTTTTTTCCATAAAATATTTTTATCAACGCAAAGATGCACAGAAGCCATTTAATTACCTTTCCAGAATCACTTGGATTTTCAGCATAGATGAGATGAAAAAGTGGAAGAAGACTTGTATCCAACTCTATGTAATTTCCATGCCTACATTTATCCATCTTGTCCTTGTCAAAATCCTGCAAATAGATTTTATTATATTATATATTAAAAGCATTAAAAACTAAATTATTTATGTAAAATACCATGTAAACAAGGCCTCCATAAACTTGAGCTACTCTGTCTTGTAAACCTGCAACAATTCCAAGTTCTTTTTCTGCATTGAGGATAAGTTGAGGTCTTATCTCAATACGTATTTTGTCTCTGACAATGTAGAAGTCAAGAAGACAGCTAAAGGCAACACATACAATGACACTGAACCAGATAACCATGTCTGAGAGATGAAAAGGGTAAGAAAGAATTTCCAAAATGATAACACGAGATTTGGGATCAAGGATCATTGGATATACAATGAAGAAGAGATAACATAAATGGTTGAAAGATTTACCTGACGAGGGATGTTAGTTTCATATGAAAGAGAAAAGTTGTTGTTGTGAAGATCGATCCCCTGTTCTTTGCAGTATTTGGTATAAACTTTACAAGTTTCCATGAGCAGACGTACACCTCCATAGTAACCTTCATTCTCCAATCGAATTGTCTGTAACACAAATGTGTTAAAAAAAATTACGTAATGGCCCCTGTGTTAATAAAATGGAGTGAAATGGGGAATATGGTAACCCAAAGTAGATCTAATTTACAAATATTCATGAGCATAATATACAAATATGTTGGCATCAGTCTCTAATTAGTAAATGGGGAAGATAAAAGGGTATGTTACCTGAAACTATTCTCCTTCATGATAAATGAATTTTGGTATAGTCTGATATTTGAAAAACAAATCATGGAGTATTACCTTTTCAAAAAAAAACCAACAAAAAATGAAAGAAGAAAGTAAAAGTTCTTAAGTTCAAAGAATGTTAAAGACTATAACTGTTTACAAACTGACGTATTTACCCAATTTCTATACTTCAGCAAGAAAAAACCTAGAAATCTCTTCATCTTTCAAGTCTATTCCCATCTAGAGAGCAAAAAGAAAAATAAAAGGAGTGTCAATCTTTAGTTCCGCATCATGGAATCTGAAAACCACCCAAAGCAATGAAAACCCCTATATAAAAAAAATGTAAAATTGGAACATACCTAGGGTTTGAAAGCGAGAGAGGTGGAGTGGGTAAAAGATTAAGGCAGAAAACAAACGGGAGAGAATCATCAGATCTGCAAAAAAGCATTTCATGTAAGGCATGAAAGATCTAATCCACCATGGAAAGTAACGAAAACAAAAACATTCAAAACCATAACAACCATAGACGATTTGCTTCCAGATTAATCAATTGATGATTAATTGATGCTCGGTTGCTTGCGTTAAGAGTCGTGTTTGCTAGAAATTCAAGAAGATTAAACAAAACTTACAATAGAAGGAACGAAGCACTGGAATATTGCCGTATCAGCAAAAATGGTAGTAGTTGATGCACAAATCAAAGGGTTTATCTTCTTCCTCGGCGCTAGGGTTTTAGAGAGCTGTAAAAGTAAAATATGAGAATTCAAAATGGTTTTGTACACGGTGTATGCGATTTCAAATAGGGAAATTACCTGATTTTATGCGATTGTATTTATGGAAAAGATATATTTTGAAATTGCTACGAGGGGAATGAGTTGAAGATAACAGAATACTTATTAGTAAGAGATGATGTCGATTCTTCAATGAAGCAATGGACGGGAAAACAATCGATAAGATCGCTGCAAGATTGACACGTGGAACGTAGGTGTTTATAATAAGGACATGTGGCATCGTAGAGAGATTTTTATTAGGAAGAGAGATATCTAATCCATTAATACTACGATAAGATACAACATCAATAGACCATTGCTAAGTATATTTAGGATTAAAATCAGAAAAATTGTTCATTTACAAAATAAACAACAAAGATAATTAGCAAGAGAACGGTGACAAAAGCCGATTAGTTCCAACAGGTTAGCGACAAATTGACGTTAAATTATCAACTTATTAGCAATGGATTAACAACAGACTTCCGTTCTTAGTACTAAAAAATGGGGCCCCTTTGACAACAAGGGTGCTATGCGGTGACAATTTTTAATGATTAGTTGGAAATCATAATTTTTAATGTTAAAACTTTAGCAAATAACCCTTTCTCTACTATAATTACTTGGCAACAGTGGACAACTGACCTAGCAATTGAGTTTGAGGATCATTGGACTGATATGACTTCGTAAAGCTATGTGATTGGCAAAAAACTTAAACAAAAAGACGCATGATGGTAGAAAAATGTTTTGTTTTATGATAAGTTATTAAAAAACATAGGGATATATAAACTAAAGTCCTAATATTTTCATCGATTTGACAAGAAAGTCCTAAACTTTATTTTTTTGACAGTAAAGTCCAAATTACCGGTAATTTTTGACATTTTTACCCTTTTTTCCCGGTTAGCCGGTAATTAGGAATTTTTTGTCAAAAAAATAAAGTTTAAGACTTTCTTGTTAAATCGTCAATTAGGACTTTACTATCAAAAAATAAAGTTTAAGACTTTCTTGTCAAATCGTCGAAAATATTGGGACTTTAGTGTATATATCATTTTTTGTTAGAAATTTAATGGTATGATACTTTTTAAGCATAAGAGTTATTGAAATATTCTCTAGTCAGCTAGATCCTATTGAAATCCTTAACGTTTGTTTCTTGTTAAATCGTTTTTTTAATCTCAACAACCCGACATTGAAAAAAATGAATATAATAAAGAAAGAAATAAAGAATCAGGGTTGTGTTGCCTTTTTTGCAGTCCCAAAAATGGAGAAATAAGAAACCGAAAAAAAAAATTTGCCCATCTTTCCCTTCTCCACATTCACACACTTTTGATTAGGTATGTGTTCTTTGTGTTTGTATAATCTGTCCCCACTTTTTAGTTCAAGATTTGGCGGCAAAGTAAGAAGAAAGTTTTACAAGTCTTTTCACCATTGTAAAACTTTCTTCTTGCTTCACCCCCAAATCTTGAACTAAAAAGTGGGGACATATTATACAAACACAAACAACACATGCCTAATGAAAAGGGTGTGAATGTTGAGAAGGGAAAGAAGAGCAATTTTGTTTTTTTCGTTTTCTTATTTCTCTATTTTTGGGATTGCAAAAGGCCAACATAATCCTGGTTCTTTCTTTCTTTCTTGATAATCTCCATTTTTTTCATTGTCGGTTTTTTGAGGTAAAAAAAAACGATTTAACAAGAAGCAAACGTTAAGGATTTCAATAGGATCTAGCTGACTAGAGAATGTTTCAATAACTCTTATGCTTAAAGAGTATCATACCATTAAATTTCTAACAAAAAAATAATAATATATACACTAAAGTCCCAATATTTTCAACGATTTGACAAAAAAATCATAAACTTTTTTTTTGACAGTAAAGTCCTAATTGAGGATTTGACAAAAAAGTCATAAACTTTATTTTTTGACAAAAAAATCCTAATTACCGGCTAACCGGAAAAAAAAAGGTAAAAGTGTCAAAAACTACTAGTAATTTGGACTTTACTATCAAAAAAATAAAGTTTAGGACTTTCCTATCAAATCGATGAAAATATTGGGACTTTAGTGTATATATCCCAAAAACATAAGACAATGATCAAATACTTTCACAACATTACATAACTATTATACTACAAAGGACATGGAAATAACGATCGTGATAAGAATATAAATTAGTAATTCGGTACTAAATCTTGAAAAAAAAAAAAACTATTATAAAACATGAATTCATTAATGATGTTTTTAGTTGCAACCCATATTTTAAGGGTAGAAAAACCTTTTGTTTGGTGTTTTAACGTTGAAGGCCCGGCATTTACACTTTGCCCAATTATATTCCCCACAAACATACAACCGCCCCCCATACCCCCCCCCCCTCCCCCCCCACACCCCACCCAACACCTTTAACTTTCTTCTATATAACTTCATTGTAACTCAGCCTGTAACCTTCCCTCGATCGATCATTTTGTGTTGCTTTTGTTTGCATCACCATCGCACCAAACTTTCATTATCAGACCCAACACCACAATCTTCATTCATCACTTCGACTTCTTACTCAATCCCATATAAATATAATGTGATTCTTTTGAGTTTTTCGTGATTCAATATTATTTTGGACCAATTTCTGATCTGGGTTTTCGATTTTAGCTCAACTCCAGTTTTTCCAATTCTGTGTTCTGCCATGGATAGAGATTTCTTCCTTAATGCCGGGTTGCAGTTTGAACCGTCGTCTCAATCACCCTGGAAGCTGATGACGTTGATGCCGGAGATGAATTATCCGGTGGAGCAAGCTTCTGCCGACGGGGTTTCCCGGCCAAATTACTCGCATTTCGAGTCTGCTTTAAGTTCAATGGTCTCTTCCCCTGTTTCTAATTCCACAGTATCCAACGACATTGTCGCCGTCCGTGAACTCATCGGAAAATTTCGTGATGGTTCTCCGGCTGCTATGACTCCACCGCTTCCGTACAGTAATACTAATACACCATTAAATCCATCACCACCCAAATTAAATTTACCAATTATTGACCATTTTATGAAAGAAAACCTACCCAGAATTCGGAATTCAATGCCATTGAATCCGAATCTACCATTGCTCACGGCGGATCCTGGTTTTGCTGAGCGAGCAGCCAAGTTTTCTTGTTTCGGTAGTCGTAGTTTTAATGGTAGAACTCATCAATTGGGGATAAATCCAAACTCCCCAGAGTTTCAAATTGGATCTAATGGTTCTTCTCCGTTGACAAGTAACGCGAAATTCCCTCGTGTTTCAAGTAGTCCGGCATTGAAAATCGACCCATCTCCGGTGAGGTTGGAAGATAACAGGAATTCAGAAGAAATCAACATGAAACTTAGCAGATTACCAGGCTCTGCTGCTAATTCTAATGAAGAATCCTCTGTTTCTGAACAAATTCCAAGTGGGGAACTTGGATTCAAGAATCAGAAAGATTCGAATACGAGAAAACGGAAAGGTGGTTCTTCCAAGGGAATTGGATCAACAGCAAAAAAGGTAATAAACCAATATCGATTACATGAATGAATCCGATATGAAATCTTTTAACTTATTCGATCCAAATTTTACTAAAAATAGGATTGTTTTTTCATGTTTCAGGAGGAAGAACCCATTGACGATTCAAATTCAAAAAAAATGAAGAAACCCGAGCAAGAAAACGGAGACACGAAGCCACAAGAGGCACCAAAGGATTATATTCATGTTAGAGCAAGAAGAGGGCAAGCTACAGATAGCCATAGCTTAGCAGAAAGAGTAAGCTTTTCTTAAAAACTTTCTTCCTTCGATAATGGCAGTTTCTGGAGATTGGTGCTCATAAATCTACAATTTTGCATATGATTGTCAGGTCAGAAGGGAGAAGATAGGTGAAAGAATGAAGCTTCTTCAGAATCTTGTACCAAATTGTGACAAGGTAAGCATTAAAGTTGTCGATTTTGATTGTTTTTACTTTTGAATGGTTAAAAATGGCTAAAAACTGCGAGGTGAAAATTGACCTGAAATGTTCTTTGGTATCTTTTTATCGTAAAGATTGCTATATATTTGGACTTTCAACTTTTTTAAAGGCGAGACATGGTAAAAATGTTAGACTTTGTTTAATTCTAATGTAAAAAATGGTAAAAATATAGGCTTTGTCTTTCTAGTGTCAAAAATAGCTAAATAATGTCTTACTTTGATGTTTAGGTAACTGGAAAAGCGCTTATGCTCGATGAAATAATCAATTACGTACAGTCATTGCAGAGACAAGTCGAGGTAACAAGATTTTTCTCAATATTTCATTTTGAATTATTTAAAATTTTTGCCATTCTGACTTTTTTGTAATCTTTATTTTTGCATAGTTTCTTTCAATGAAGTTAGCTACGGTAAACCCGTGCCTTGATTTTGACGGGGAGAATCCACTCTCACAAAACGTAAGTCAGTTTTATATCTAAAAACATATGTTATTTTTTCAAGTCTTCCAAAAATTTCAATTGTGCTTTGAGAGTATTCTTATATGCGTATGAATTAAATTGCAGGCTAATCAATCTAATGTGAATTTATCTCAACCAACACACCACGTTCAATCTTCTACATCGACTTTTTATCAACAAAACCAACAAGTACTCTTTAACGGGTCGGCCCCAGTTATTCAATCGGGTCACCAATTAGCCGAACCTTTTCTTCAGGTAAAATCCTTAATCACCCACTTAGGTCTTATATACCGGTTTAAGGATTTTAATAATATGAAAAATGACAACGTATTCGGCTAAAATGAAAAGTCAAACTTGTAAACAGTTTGGACATATAAAAGAAAACCTTTATTCTCGTATTTTTAATACAAATAAAACTATAATAATTTAATTTATTAATTCATGTATTCGTTAAACTCATCAAGTAAAAAACAAGCACCATATTTTCACAACAGATTTAGAACGTATAAACACATTTACGTTGATTTTAATCATAAGTTTGGGCTTGAATTGGTTCTTGCAGTTCCCGGGATTCGGTCAAGACGATCTTCAAAGCATTGTTCAAATGGGTTTTGGTGAAAATCTTGATCTAGATGCACCATTTTTTCGAGATCAACCATCTAATATGAAGATGGAGCTCTAATTGCAACCTTAAAAGACTCTTGTATATACAAAAGAGATCAAATTGGTTCATATTAAAAATAATATGAACCGTTATTACGCTAATCAATCCATTTTTAGGTCTAATTGAAGCGAAATTCTTCAAGTTATTTCATAATTTTTTATAATTTTCTTCTTATTAATATGTATTTGTAGTGTATTTCTAGATTGTGTGTTGTCTTTCTTCATATATCACACGATTTGTAAAATATATTTTGTTAATAGAGAGAAATGAAGATGTGCAAGTCTCCACCTTCATTCCAATATACTGTATTGTCTACTTGTATCTTATGCATAATAATAATAATAATAATAATAATAATAATAATAATAAACAGTTATATTGCTACAAACTAATAAAAAAAATATTAAACTTATTCTTCTATAGCAAAAATTATTTAGAGCAACTCTCGCCAATTGACTTGTATAATGAATATTACGTGTTTATCTTCATATATGATCTCATTACAAGATCCAAAATTATAAATATTAGTTCATTTGTACAAAAGCTAAATTAAATTTGATGATTACAACTATGGGAAAAAATCGATTAATTTGCATAATATCTGCCACATTTTCTGGTCCTGTAATTTTCAGAGATTAACCAGAAACAGAACCTTCTGTTCTTCCTTCTTCATGATTACAGCAATCATAAAAACTAAAATTAAAAAAAGAAAAAAAAAATCTAAGATTAAAATATTAAATTAAAAATTAGGAATAATTAGAAGAATCACAGGTTGGCTTTGGTGAATTCTGACTAGACCCAATGAACACAAACCTAACTTTTATAAAAATAAATAAAATATAAATATATCATCCACTGTTTTAAAATATTGGTGTGACAAAAGAAAAGTTAAAGATGTTAGTGGATTTACAGGTATTGAAAAAGATGCTATTTTTTATTATTCATAGGGGGTGGTTAGTAAAAATCCAATTTTTAAGGGTATTAATTTAATATTTGGGACATTTGCTGCTTTACCGCTCTTATTTTATTACGATGTGCATTATTGGATTGATTTCATTATTAAGAAGATTCTTTGAAAATGATATATTTTACACAAGAGTTAAGAATTATAAAGTAATTTTTAATAATAATTTCTTTTTTTTATGGTTAGGTGGCAGAAATGTCCCCCATAACTTACATTAAAATTGAAATTAATAGAATTCAATCATACAGTGAAACTTCAATTTGAATTTGAACTTTATTCTATATAAGACTTTTTATTCAGTTTCTTAAAAGTTTATGTCATCAAAAATCGAATTTTACTTTAAATAACTAAGAATTCTTTATCTAACTATAAACTTATTATAAAGAAAACTTCAAACCGCTAGTAAAAATAATTTCTTAAAAAGAAAAAAAGACAAATAGAATTAAATTACTTTGACGTCCAAGTTGCCGAATTATGCTCAAAATTTTGTATATGTGACTTTTGTATTAATATTATCAAACTAAAATTAATAATTATATAAAAAAAAGTCTTTCCCAGTATCTTTTCCATAATCAAATGTTGACTAATTACATCTAGTTGTTGCTCTTGTCAGATTTTTAGTTTAAAAAGGTTAGAAAAAATAACTAACACACATTATATATATATATATATATATATATATATATATATATATATATATATATATATATATATATATATATATATATATATATATATATTAGATGTGTGCTCGCGCAAAACAACGACGATAAATAGCTCTTTTGGCGAATAGTTTTCTTACGGAGAAATAATTATTATATTTTATTATTAGTTTTATGTAATAAAAAATTACCACTTTTAAATAAAATATTTATGTTTAAAACTTATATTTATATTATTTGTTTATACATTTGATGTAAATTAATTACTGTCAGTGTCTAGTTTAAGAAATGTAAATTAATTTATATAGATAAATTTATATTTTAAAATTGTCATTTTACTTCAAATTAAATTTCTTAATAACCTTCCTTAGTTTAAGTATTCAAACTTTTGACAAGTATTAATGATTTATTTATGCATAATTTAGTTGACTCAATTAATGGAAGGGACTAAAAAAGTTATAACTTTGACGATGAAGGACTTATTATGTCAAAACTTAAGTTAAAATTGTTTATGATTCACGCTAATTTCACCTCAGCGTGACTGAAACAATCCATTCTTTCATTTATCTTCTTAATAAAACTTGACGATTCAATTTTATACCACACACTGATAAAAGTTTGAAACTTTGTGCGGATGGTTAACCTATGTATCGTAGGCTATCATACACACCAACACATTCTTGCCTTTATATTCTTCTTTAAAGTTTTATGATTCAGCGTAATGTATCATATGATGATGAGAGCTTGACAAATCTATGTCGATGGTTAAGCTAAAACACCACAACTTATCACACACATCATACCATTCTTGCCCTTTTCTTCTAGTAAAAGTGATTAATGAGTCAGTGTATGAAACCACACGCTGATGAGATCTCGCAACACTATGTCAATGAGTGGTAGTTTAAGCCCACACTATCAGGAAACATCACACTCTATATAAACTACAAGCTGCAACTCAGATTCTATAATTTTTTTTTCTCCAGTTTTATTTTCTATGTCAAAAAGGGGGAGAACCTAGCTATAAATGAAGTAACTCCTAGATGTTATCAATAAAAGGGGGAGTCAAGCGGATTAACACGTGGACATCAAAACTCTCAGCTCTTCACGTTCCGTTCGTTGATAGCTCGTACAAATTGCAAGCAGTTTTAAAGTCATTCACATTCTCAGACAGAGCACTCGTTAAAAGATGAAGAACTTAAAATTAAACTTTCTATAACTTTCAATCATATTCTCAGGGGGAGCATACGGAGAGATTGAGTTAAAGAACTCATTGAAGATTAGTTTTGACATCATCAGATAGGAGGTGATTGTAAGGTCACACATTATGATCTGATGAGTCAAACACTTGTACAAGTTATCTATCAGCGTCAGCGTCTTCTCTACTACCAGTGCCAACGTATCAAGCTTATCAACGTCAACACATACTATAGTTATTTTATGCAGTCCCAGTTTAGGAGGGGCCAAACTAGGCTACTGCCCAGGGCCCATAGCAAGTTGGGGGCCCAAATTTATCTGTTTAATAATAAGTGCATTTGTTACTACATAACATCAAATAACCTTCAGTGGACTTGGTATAAACATCTTATATTAATTAAGACACCTCGGTTTAATTCCTATAGTTATATTCTCTTTATTGCTTTTGTATAACTTTTGACAAAAAGAATAAGAATTTCTAGTATCTCACGGGAGATGAACCTTTTTTTTAATCTGTATAGCTAGAGTTCAAAGTACAAACCCTTAATTGCTTCTCTTTTTTCTATATTTACTTTGCTTTTTTTTTTAAATCTATATTAAAGTTATACCCTATAAACAATCAAAAAAATAATAACACATAGTCCAAATGATTTAAATGCTTGATGTAACACCCATAAAATTTAAGCCAATTTAAAACTTTTTCAAACATTTAAAACCGTTAAGTTATTACAATTTGTTTTCAAATTAGTTCCATATCAGAGTATCCCAGAAACAAATTCATAAAATGTGAGGAGCTGTACGATCACGCTTTTGCCTTGCCGCGATCCCCTGATGTACCTGAAACAATAAACTGAAACTATAAGCCCGAGAGCTTAGTGAGTTTCCCCCAAAATACCCATACCCACAATAATACACATATAAATCATAAACTTCATACTATGGGTCCAGTCAACCATCGGGTTGGAATACCCCAGGCCCTCAAACCATCCGGTTGGAATGCCAACATAATATGGGTCCAATCATCATCGGGATGGAATACCTCAGGCCCACAACCAACAGGTTGGAATGCCCATATACTATGAGTCCAATCATCCTCGAGATGGAATACTCACGACCTAGAATGCTTAGAGAATTCTTCAATCAGTTCTTTGATCACCGGGGGTGCCTTCTTTGTGAGGGGTCCTTGCGAGTCTAGGAGCTGCCTAGTTGTTACATTGACTCCATCATAGAAAATGGAGACTTCTTGTTGGCTATTAAGATCATGATGTGGGCAATTCCTTAGTAGACTTTTGTATCTCTCCCATGCCTCATAAAGGGACTCTCCAGGTTGTTGTTCAAAGTTGGCGATAACTTTCTTCAACTTGGCTATTTTCGAGGGTGGGCAAAACTGGTCAATAAATTATTCCTTCATCTTAGCCCATGTAGTGATGGATCCGGGAGGGAGTGACTTGAGCCAATCCTTTGCAGCACCTTTGAATGTAACTGGAAGCATACGAAGCAGCTGGGTTTCGCGAGGCACATTTGGAACATTAAAATAATCAGCTACATCATTGACTTCATCCAAGTGTTTATAGGCATCTTCGTGGTCTTTTCCATAGAAGGGATCTCCTTGAGTTGAGCAAGAATGTGACCCTTAAGCTCAAAAGTGGCAGTCGCGGGAATTGCGGGTTGCACAAGTCCCGGGCCGGTATCATCCCGTATCCTCTTCTTCCATTCGCCCATGGGAACTTCATCAATGTTCGCCATGGTGTTGTTAAAGTTGCCTTCTAGATCGCTACCTTCTTCAAATTCGCTTTCTTCTCCTTCAGACTCGTTCACGATGTCTTCCTTGATTGGGTCTTCGTTTGCCAAGGAAGAGGTGTTGGATGCTCCTGATTTGCTGCTCTTTTTCTTTCTAAAAACGGATTTGTATTTCTTCAAAGGTGAGTTCTTTGAAGAAGCGGATTCTCCAACGGTTTTTCCTTTGTTCTTTCTTAGAGCGGACTCCGGGTCTTCAAGTGGGGGAACCAAAGACATATTGGATCCTCGGGTCATGTAACAACTGAAATTAAAGTAAGAAAAACGCGTGAAAAGAACAAAAAGAAACTAAAATAAAAACTGTGAATCAGCGATGGACTCGCCGAGTAGAGTCGATTGCACTGGGCGAGTTTAAGGCAGAAACAGAAAAGAAAAGAAAAAAAATCTAATTAAATTTCTAAAACAGAAAACTATGAATACTAGTCCTATCAACTAAATTACCTAAAAAAATAATGCAAGATAAATCTCACACAAAGGATCGATAAAACTAGATATTAATGCTAATTTTTGAACCGTTCCCC